ATAGATAAATACTCCAAATATATGATGGACGGGTATGTTTCTGCGATGGAATCGCAGAAACTTCCTAACAGACGTGAGGGGTCACTCATTTCAGAGATGTGGCATACTTCAATATTCACTCTTTGGTAGGACAGAATGTTGGTATACGGAGTTCCAGAAACCTCAGTGCCGGTTGAAGTTTGGCAGTTGGTTCCTTCCAGCTGTTCTTAAAGGTATTCTCTGCAGGGATTAAAAAGTGGCTCATAGTTATGGCTTAAGATTTGTATGTTTCGCTGTTTCTGATTTCATTTTTCTCGTTGGGAAATAGAGGAAATGGGATGTGTATCCGGTAGTGAAGGGTTTATGGCTAAACGATCACAACTGTCAACAGCTGGTAACATCAGTTGGGGAAAATGGCAGCATGTGTGAAGCATGCAATTAAATTAATTAATTATCATTCCTAATGTTTGACCTTTCAACTGGTTGTGGTGGGAGAAAGAAAGGCAGACGTCCCTTGGAGTGACTTGGAGTTTCAGACTCTTTCGGGGTCTTGGGAAGTCATCATTTGGGGGTTTGCTCAATCATGCTCTTCAGTGCTTCTGTTGAAGAAAAAGGAGAAAGAGAAGAAACTCTTGAGACTGAAGCTGCCTTTACTTAAAATCCCTTTTCAGTCTAAATCCTTTTTTTAACAGGGGAGATTTTTGTTGTTGATCATTTTACATTACTTTAAGGATTAAGCGTATTAAAATTTTAAATGTGTAACAAGAACACAGAAGTGCAGTAAATACAAATATTCTCCTCATTTTACCAAGACATGGGCAAAAATGTGATTTTTTTTTTTTTGGTTTTTTTTTTTTTTTTTTTTTTTTTTTTTACTGTTTTCTCTTGGAGAAAATTGAATTTACAGGATAGATAAATTATAGGAGTGATTATACACATTGCAGAACGGCTCTTTGATTTTTCAAAGCATCATGTAGATTCATGCAAACAGCTGAATTTTTAACGTACAGAAATCACAGTGCATATTGTTCAATATTCAGGAAACCGTATTTATCAAGAACTCATCTATTACTGTAAACAATATTGAGTTTAGGAAAAGTGTACTGATTTCTGCAACTTACTTGTGAAATGCACCAAAAAGTAAGATGGGTTGATGGGTGATAGGGGAATGGACAGATTGATAGATAGGCAATTAAGCAAATATAATAAAGTGTTAATGTTAAATTCTAAAAAAAAAAACCTCATCTATTGCACAGAGCAAAAGAGTCCTATCTCACAAATAGAATTAAAGTTTGAATGACTTAATTTTATATGTATATAACACAATACGAAATAAGAATTAGCAATTACTAAGGGAAGGACGACTGTCAATTATCTTCTAGTCTTTTTCATAAATCAGAGAAAGAAGTATATATTTTTTTCTTGAATGATCTACAATATGGGCAAACAGCCTAGAAAATGAGTGTTATCTAAGCAGCTTGAATTCACTCTGCACTCTGTAGATCTTGACAAAGGCAACCTGAAAGATGGGATTGCATGTCGATACCGAACTTTGGAAAATCAGATATACACAATGAAAAACTCTGTCATTAAATTTTTAAAAGTTTATGACCCACATGGAAATTTTTGATTGTGCAAAACTATATCTTTCTTACTAATACATGTACTACAATAGTTTTAGTTTCTGAAATTATATATAGGAGTATTGAAAACTAAAAAGATTAGTTGTAAAAAACGTACCATACTATTGTAAAATGTTGATAATAGGGGAATCTGGGTGCAGATATATGCAAACCCTCAGTACTATCTTCTCAACTTTTCTGTAAATCTAAAGTTGTTCTTAAAAAATGAAGTCTGGGGCTTCCCTAGTGGCGCAGCGGTTGAGAGTCCGCCTGCCGATGCAGTGGACACGGGTTCACGCCCCGGTCCGGGAAGATCCCACATGCCGCGGAGCGGCTGGGACCGTGAGCCATGGCCGCTGAGCCTGACGCCTCCGGAGCCTGTGCTCCGCAACGGGAAAAATAAAGTCTGTTGAAGAAGAAACTAACAAGAACAAAAGTCATTTCTGTTTTATTCAGTTTCCTTGTTCTAGGATGTTTTCCATAATCTGTAATGTGTAAGTATTCAGAGGTAAAACAAATATTTAAATTTTCCTGTAATATTTTCCTTTTGAAAATGCCATATTACTTAACTATTTGAATCATATCCAGATTTTAGTCCAGACCCCTACTTAATATTTGGTTTATTAGTACCTACAAGACTAGTACAATATAGATTTTTCTTTCCTCTGTAAGACAAAAACACATGGGAAATTTCTTGTTCCCTATTATCTCTACTAAGTTTAAATCGTTACCGTTTTATTTATTTTAAAATTTTAGATTTTAGATTTAAGAGAGAGATTTAATTTATATATTACAATTAAGTATTTTTCTAATGCTAAGAACTAGTAAATAGCAGATATTTGGAATTTTATTATACATAGCAAACAATAAAAATGCGTGCAGTTTCACAACAGCTGATAATGTGAAATTTTCTTAACTTGAACTGGCATTTTAAATATTATTTAAAAACTATTCACACTTATTACCCTTTAAGGTTTATCCTTTTAGCTCTTTTATACTTTAATATTAAAATTTTTTTTCTACCCTGTTGAAGACTGTAACAAATTTTTCCTACTTGCTGTAGTCTAAAACTTTGCTTATAAATACTGATGCTTAGTGCTATTTCTCTGATTCCTTTGATGACATTTTCTGAGTTTGTTTCATTACCCAGCTATCTTTCAGAGACTGGCGTATTCATTTCTCTAATTAATATTCTACGTAACTGGGATGGTATTTTTATTTTTTTATTTCTAAAGAAGTGAATAGCACAAGGACTATAAGTGATGTGCTGGTATGTTATCTTATAAATGCTCAAGGTACAGCTTCTAACATTGAAAAATAGAAAAATAAATTGACCTTGATGAAGTGTGTCTTCTTTTGTCTGTTCCTAGGAAAGTTTATTTCAGGTATTCCTACTGCTGAAATGATTAGCGTTAACAGCTTTTTCCCTCCATTTTATTTTACAGGGTCTCTTCATCTTCCTGATATATGGGGTGTACAACACAGAGGTAAGTCTGCTTGGAGTATCTCAAGGCTGACAGAGTGAATGAGAGAAATGACAGGTTTCTTATCTTGATAACTGAGGAACAAAGTTGGCTTTTCATATGAGTGTTCTGCTGCCCTTCATGCTTGGACTAGCTTATATGCATCCCAGCTTACCATTAAACACTGCCACCCTGAGCAAAGGGACAGTCTCATTTCTCATAGGCGTTGACTAATATTTTACTACTGCCTTAAGTTTTTGAGTTTTCAGTCTTTTAACACTGAAATATACTTGACAGTATTAGAGTTTCACAGTTTAAGTGGCAGAATACTTCTATGTAGTTGCATGAAGTTAGAAAAATACTAATATTTCTTGTCTCAAAATACTCATTACATATTGTCTTTTAAGTTTTTGAGCAGGCTCAGAGAGGCCTGTAAGGATTAGTTGATAATCTTTATGATTCCAGTTGCAAAATTTCTCAGAGAAGTCATTTATTATTTAACTATGATAAGTTATTTGGCTAGAAATATTGTGAGACAATTGACTTGTAATTTCATCATGAAAACGTACCATGGAAAGAAATTATTGTCATGGTGCTGGTTCTTTTATGAAAAATAATCCTGTGCTTTACATACACTCTTGGTTAGGAGAGTTGCTGGTTTAGATTTTCGCTTAACATGAAAGTGGGTGCCTTGTGTGTACATTAGGCACGGAATAAATATTTGATTTTTGTTGCTTTTTGATTTCAAGATTTTACTTGGTAAGTTTCCTTAAGAGAACAATTAGTGATTTTGCCTGCGTTTCTCAGTATTCTGTACTGGGGAGGGGACAGTGGATCTGAGTAGCGCTCTTAGAAGGGCCTGGCAGTCGATTTTTCATAAATAACATAGAGCGCCAGGCAGCAATACAACAGGGCCAGCGGACTCATTAGCCAGACTGAGAAGGCCTGTGGGCATTTAAAGAACATCTGATGATGATAAGTATGCGTGTGGGCGTGTTTTACAGCGCTGCCGCACCTGGATTACACGCGGCTTCCTCTTTCAGTAGTCTTCAGGTAGGTTGGCAGTAAGACAACCTTTTTTTTGCAACGGTACCTCTGCTGCGGTTTCAAAGCAGGCCCCTCCCACAAATGCAGAGGAAAAGCGCTTATTATTAAAGTGTGTGCCAGACAAGGAGGGGTACCGGAAGCAACCTGTCCCAGTAGATGCTGAGCACTGGAGATTCAGGGCACACAGGCAGAACCCACAGCGCCCCAAGCCTCCCCGCTCCGGGGCTGGGTTCGGCTGCAACACCAGCCCTGCAAGCCGCAAAGCCGAGAGGGCCGGGCCG